TAAAATTACGAAATTATATTATTGGATAAAAATACGAAATTCTGTTTAGTCTATTAGTCAGATAATATAAAAATATTAGATACATATTTTTGTGTTTTAATTTAACAAGTAATATCTTAAGATAACTGGCTTAATGTTGAGGAGTAGGGGCTCGCTACGTCATAACTACGTAGACAATGTGAACCTTTGTACATTTTCTACGTCGTATGATTATTATGAAAATCCGAATGTCCACCAGTAAATTAATTTTTAAGAAATGGTTACGTGGCTATTTTTCGAAAGAACTGGATTCGTCGATTTGATACTTTTATCGTATATTTATTATATGTATGTATATAGTATATATAGATTATGTACGCATATTGATATATATGTATTTGTTATAGATTTTATGTATTATAAGTTTTTATGTAACTACTTGTTTGGAAAGAAATCTTTATCCTTTAGTTCCATTGTGCACCTTGCCACCATCGGTTTCCCCACAGCACGCTAAGGTTGACTGGGAGAGAATGCCTAAGGCATTAAGTCCGCCAATGTACTTTTTTGTGCATGAAGAATTAAATAAATAAATAAAAATAAAATAAATAAATAAACAATATGAGTGTCAAATTAAAGATCTTTATGAATACAAAGTCTAAAGTATATCTCTAGGTTCAAATCCATATAAGTTGTTTACATTCACTGGTCAGAAAAATAAAATAAAAATAATTAAATAAATAATAACACGACTGCCAAAATCGAACTAAATATAAAAGAACAGGTTGTATTATGACTTAGCTAAACAAAATTTTCATTGCAGTCGAAGGGCCAATCTGTGAGACGTTTGTAAGCTTAGAGTTTTGTGTTTTAAAATTTTTAAATTAATTGTTTCCTTTCTACTAATAGTAACTTTGAAATTTATTATAGTTATAATTATAATAGTAAATATGATACAGCTTTTCTATCTTACTGCAACATATAGATTACCAAACAATGTGTCATTAACAAGAATAGCATTAATTGAGTATATAACATGAACATGGCAACCTTGTCTAGAAATGTGTGTGTTCGACATGAATGTATTTGATAGACTAAATACGAACGTGTTAATTAAGCTAATTCGAGCAAGCGTTGCATCTAGAATAAGCCGGTTGCATAATGCCGTTCTGATTTCAACAGACCTTACTTAAATCCCTAGAGTATTCTAGAGGTATACACGGAGCGTAGCGTAGCTATCTTATTAAATTTCAAAGTAATTTTTTTTAAGACCACAAAACCTAACATATGAACAAGCTATTTCAGCAAACAAATTAGATTTCTTGTTTGGACACCCCACATTAATGATATGATCAAACGTGGATTGCCATATCATTAAACGTTGGCGCTTAAATGATATGATAAAATTATGAAATAATCAATTCTACGAAACAGCCACGACATATACATATTAAAATTGCACTAAAACACATCCCAACTTTTTTACCTGTCCACTTGGTGTGAAATACTCCTTGTATACTCCTTATCTATAAATATACGTTGTTTTCCTCTGATCTACTCAAAAAGAAATATAAATGTCAGATAACTCTTATTCCTCGCAAATCGAATAAGTCAGCTGAAAGAATTAGTTTTATATTGCTATTTGTGTAGCAATACAAAATCATCCATTTCATCTTTATGTACTGAGTTGGAATAAAATATTACTCTAGCTTGTATAATAATAATAATATTTATGTGACCATAAATTAATGAAGTTATTGATATAGTAATTATTTAAAATACACCTTGCTTATAGGTAGCATCCATCACCGAACTAGGTTGTGAACCTGAATCATCGGTATATGGCGCCTCTAACCTCGGACAATAAGCAATGTATTACATTACATATATGTTTTATTTAAAATGTTAAATCTTAGAAAAGTTATGCAATTTTGAAAATAAATTGTACTAAAATATAGAAAATAATAAAGCCCTCTCTGTGTGTAATGTAAGAAATGCATCTATGAATGTCGAGAGGGTGTATGGTTAAGTTATATTATATTTGGTAACATATTAAATTATGCATATAAATAATTTATATCTGTACTGATGATTGGGGTGAATGTGAACATTCGCAATCGTACCCAATTCAGAAATTTGAGCAAAATCCAAGGTTACCCAAAAGTTTTATTTACTATTTCAGTATCTTCGTATGTTTGTTCCAACAACCAATTTGTAACTTAAATTTTACAATCAAATCTATTAAGGCTATAAATGTTAAGTATTTTGTTATAAAAAAATGGACCCAAGAAAAGATAAAATCTTTTCAAAAACTGAGTCTTAAGGCTAATATTTAGATGAAAGGAGTAATTCATTGCTAATTTTAGACAGGTAGTAGTCGATAAATATATAAAGTGTACTTATGGGCTTTCAATTAATTGGTAGCAAAATGCCTAAAGATTTGCCTATGCATTGTTGAATAATCACATCCAACCTGAAATATTAAGTTGAAATAAATCAATTAATATCAACCATATTCACACAAACCCTGTAACCACAGAAGACGTTCATTATCTAAATTCCCATACATTCCCGTAGAAAGCGGGGTAATGTATAATTGATTTATTCAAATCATGTAAAGTTATTTGTAATTTTAAATTTAGATAATTTCATGAATTTGTAGTGTCGTGTACTTAAAAATTTTTGAATCTATTTTAAGTCACTGAATAAAAAATCCATTGTCACTGAATAAAAAATTGGTTATCTTAACATTATTAACAACACTTACCTTACACGTTAAATTAACTGTAGGTATATTTTTATTTGTTGCTAAATTGATATATGTATTAAAAGCTATATTCAATTCATGTTTACATCCTTAATTACCGTCAGTTCCAAATTTGGTAGTAACTTCAAAAATTAACCTAACCTAACTTCTTATTACAATTTAGAATTTTTGATAAGGTATTAAAATTTATAAGAAATTTTAAATATAGTAAGCGAGAAAGTTAACTCTTACCAATTCGAAGTAATTTTAGAAACAAATTTAAATAAAAGCATTATACTACCTATCTTTTAACCTCATTAATATTGGTTTAATTAATTTAAGTCACTGCATGTTTTTTTTTATAAAATCTTTACTTTTGTTAGTTGGTGATATCCCTCCGCTCATTTCTTTCAATCTGCGAAAGGACTTCCTGAACGAGTAGGTTAAAAAATGTTGGAAGATTCAAAAGGACTTTTCAAAAATTAATTTAATTAAAGATCATTTTGAATTTGACCTTCTATTAGAATAGCCAATGGCAATTAAATGCAGTTTCCCCTATCTACCAGAATATAAATACCTCAAAACTAATTTGACATAATAATCAACTGACCTAGTATTTGAATATCCGAATTCAAAATGCATAATTTATTTTGGGGTAATTTCGTTTTGCATAATAAATGATAAACCAATCAATTGGTAATGATTGTGAACAAACCAACTAGCGAGCGAAGCGATCGTGCCGGCTAAGCCATGAATAAACCTACTTTGAATATTTTAATAATATATGCAAAAAGACGGTTCTTACTGTAAACTTTCTGCGAATAATGGTTCGATTTTTAATTATTTTGCATAAATAAAATATGAATTTTGTGAAGATTAGTTTGACTTTCAAAATTATAAACGCATACTATGTGAATGTGTTCCGAATGAATTTCTAGAAGATGAAGTTCATAATATCTGTGGTTTTGCATAATAATATTGAAATATAAAAATTCTGCCATAAAACGGCAATCCGATTTAATTTTCAGGTCTTCAGTATTTTATTGTGATTCACAGTGACAGGCAAAATTTTTCGAACATTAGAATTTGATAAAAAAAAAAGAAATTTTCTGTGCTTAATATTTTGTCCATAATTGTATTTTTCGGTTATTCCTTTTTTTATAATTTCAATAGCAGCTGAATTTCCAAGAATATTTCGAATCCTTTCAATTTGGTTAAACCAACAAAATCCCATCAAAGCGATGACTTAAAAATTCCATTATAATATAATGATACTTTCATTTACGATGCGTCAAAAGAATAATAAATTAAAAATAAAATTACTCCGAATATCAAAATTATAAAAACGGTTAGCAAAGATCTCAATAAAAATAGATATAGTATTATTTAGATTCATTTATTTTGGATGTACATAGCTATTTTACAATGGTGCTTAGTATTTAAACTATTCTAGTTAGGTTACTATGAAATAAATACATTTTCTGAAATCACAATCTTATATAAGGCGTCATCAAATGTTTATAAACAATAAATCTCTATACAAAAAAGTAAAAGATTTGAGTTTTTAAATAAAAAAATATTGTAAAGTAAATTAATGTTAGCATCAATCAAAACTACCAATTTAATTTGGATAGGATCAACTACGTAATCTATCTCAAATTTTATGATCACCAAGGATCGCCTGAATAAGAAAGGTGATGAGTACGATTGCTGCTTACTATGAGTAGTGTATTATATTCCAATGTAATTTTATTTAAAATATATTTTAACGTTAATAACGTCAATTATAAATTTACAAATAAACTGTACATTCTGTAAATATAATTGCTTGACATTTCAATACGTTTGGCTGTTACCAACAAGTGGTTATTGATAGTTTTATTACAAAACTAATTACATATAGATTTACACTATATTGTCAACAACTAAATATAATAACATTTCATACAACAGGCACTTATTAGTTAAACGATATCGATTCTAGTACTAGATTTCAGGAACTAATAACTCAAACAATTTAGTCTATCATCAGATCATTCTATATAATACAAATAAGACTTACTATTTAGTCATTCAAAGGAAGCTTCTAATACAAATATATACATTTAAATATCACTATATAAAATACTTGTACATATATCATTCTTAATTTGTCTCTAATGAATTGCAAGGCACAGGAGATATGTGTTTTTATTATCTGTTTTATTTCACTCAGGAATCAGTTGTAAGTACATATATTTTTAATTTTTAACTTATTGCCTTTTTTATAATAATATTTCTAATGTACTCTGCCCATGTCCATGCCCCCCAGTTGCCCTAAATACGGGTAGCCAGATTTAGCCTCCGTCGGCGAATGCGCATGGGACGCATAGTGTGAAGCTTGCGTCCCGAAGAATGAACTGTAACAATGAGAAAAAGTATAAAAATATTTTCAGTGTTTAATTAGCAGTCGCTATTGGTTAATCTTGCAAAAAAGAAGTAATAGATGAAATCATCAAACAAATCGACCACCTCGAGCGGGAATCGAATTCAAGGCCATCCCCGAGTAATTCCAAAATGATTGCTTTCCTTGTCGCAACTTTTCGATGTTTTGTGCAGTGCATGCTTAATTATTGTGTCATCAAATCTAACCGAATATAACGAAATTCGTTCGATATCAAAGTTAAGATGGGCTTTTCCTTTCAATACAATTCGCTGGATTCTAAGCTTAGGATCTGTCCAGTAATTTTACCACCGGTTACAGTTATATTTCTATTTTAAGTAAACACGGTTGTGCAAACTTGACAATTTGTGATAACCTAATCAGCACTACGCTACATATATTGAGAGCTTTACAGCTAAGAAATACAATAATTTAACTGAGTTCGTAAAGGAGAACCTACTATGGTCACAGTCTCACGCCTCTAATTGAAGACAGATTCTCAAAATAATTCTAGGCCTAGTCGCAATCGCAATGCAGGAGCATACCCACTAAAACTAAGCCTACCTTTACTAATAAAAATAAAAATATTGAATTCAAAATTTATTTAAATCTGATCAGAATATATCAAAATGCCTAAAAGAATTCTTACAATTTTGTTTATTTATAACTATACTAGCTTTCGCCAGCGGCTTCGCCCGAGTGGTCAATAGGGAAATTTTTAGTGGGATAAAAAGTATCTAAGTAAGCAATACGTTCAGTAGTTTCGCGGTGATTGACGGACAAACATCCAAACAGAAACTTTCACATTTATAATATTAATAGGATCTTTTAATTTCCTATGAACAACCATAATTATTAGATCTTATTTATTTTCATTTATTTATGAAACTACAACTTATTTATGATCTATTTCGACGTTTTTATAAGTCTTTAAAAAAAGTGAAAAATAAATTAATTTTAAGACAATATATTCAACATACTTCTATTGAAGTAATGATTTATTAATATTAACCACCTGTCTTAAATAGGTTTTTGACACGAATCACCTTTAAGATGTGTTTTATTTTTACCGTTAAGTTCAAGAGTTTTTGGTTAAAAATATAAAAAGTTAGTAATACAAGTTAACCTGCATATTTAGTATTTATTTCAAAATACTTACTCGTTCTCGATTAATTTTAAATGCATATTACCTAGATACAGTAATTAAATGACAGTAACATAATAAAACGTGGGAGCGATTGCAATGTAACTGAATAAATCTTTGGTAATAAGCACGGTATCGATTATAGGAAGCCAAAACACGCAGAGACCATCGCCTATAATATTATAAAGGTTGTAATAATAGGCTGGAGGCTATAATATCCCAATAATTGTTACTTAGTTTTAGCCTACCGATATACGTAATCTTATATAGGTAACGTCGACACAACTGTTCTTTAATTTATTCCGTGTGTACAGTTTGCAAGAATACCTTATAGAAATTATTAATTTTCTACCTTTGTCTCAACTGTTATGGTAATTAAGCACAAATATTTAACGACTACAGCAATGTTGACGGATATATGTATGTACTACTTCATGTCATCCTGTCAACCTGCTAATAAACTTCATTTTCTTAAATTTAAATGTTGCACATTCCAAATTTTCGAATGTAGACTTAAAAAACTAAAGAGATATTTAGAAATTTTTAATATAAAAAAAAATCAAGAGTTTTTGTAAAGTTGTGTTTTTGACGATTATTTTAGACATGAAACTACCGTCGGCACCATTTTAAATCAGATATTTGTCTAACCTAACATTGAATAAGTTAAATATACTATATTTTTAACCATTGTACTATGTGAGAGTACTTATACGGAAATATTTCATCTTTAACTCTTTTAAAACACGTATACATGTTACTATAATTATTCTGATTTGAAAATTTCGCAATAAATCAAAGGATGTAAGCCTTCAACGTACAATAACATGTTCAAGCGTGTATTAATATCACAGCTGTGAAAGTATTACAGAAGGCAAATCGTGACTGCAAAGGGTAATAAAACATTACATTAAAGTAATTGAATCTGCTCTTAATTGCTCGCAGTAAGGTCAACTGCTTCCAAATATATAGTAATTCTCGAGAATTGGGACTCCTTTTTACTGAAATTAATAGAGAACATCTGCGTATAATTCATGTCATGATAATTCGATGTATCTTAATGTTAGAGACGCCTCCAAATATAATTACTCATATTTAGATCCTAATTTGTCTATATTTTTTCTTAAAAACAAGAGAATAATTCTCCTACAAAATCTATAATGAATCTTCATTATCCGATTATTCAGTAAAATATGGAGAACGTAGCGTGTACTTGCATCACAATGCATAAAAGAGGCATTTGCATGAACATTCAAATTATATTGAGATTGTAATATGTGATAAATTAATGATTACAAGCACTTAAGTAACAAAATAAGTAAAAGGGTGATTAAATTTCACATTGAATGAAAGAAAAGACATACTAATTCAAAGTGTAAAAAGGTTTTGTGTCAATTTCTACAGTTTTATATCAAATGAAAAAAAGATTATTACCAATTTATTATCTATAAGTAAACAATAAATTTGAAAGGTCTTATTCGAAATATCGAATAAATTCAAAAAGTAAAATCCATTCTTAATAGGTTTACGTTTAGGAAGTCAAATCAACAGCTGCAGATAAGTTTTAATGCCGGTCTCGACGTCAGCTAATGCGCGGCTGCGGCAACCTAATGTCACGTTCGACCTTTCATTAATTGCATCTTAGATAAACGCAGTTGAGAACCGTCTATTGTGTTAGAATATGCTCTTATGACGGTCAGACATACGATACGCTTTCTTACGACGAAAGGTTTTGTTTATAAATTCCACGATTTACATTCAAAACTCGTACTTTAGACATCTTATGTTTAGCATAGTGATACCGCAAGATAGATGAGGTTTTAGCAGTATTAAAGCAATTTAAAATAAAACCACGCATGTATTATGCTACACTCTCAACGAAATTTGTATAGTGACACACTTTATTAAGTAAATATTTGATAAACTGAAAGGCTCAAATTGATGTCGTTTTGGAGTTTAGGTTGAGGATAATAGGCAAAATAATAAACTTCTACTGGCTGAAGACACGTACATAATAGCATATAAATAATTTTGATTTGAATTATGAATGAATAACTCAAATTTTACTTTTAAGATTTTATATTTTAACTGATAATATAAATGCTTAATTTTGATAGCAAGTAAATTATAACTTTACAAAAAAGAACTTGGATTTAAGAGGCAGGATGTTAAAATTATAGCTAAAAACCTGAAGACAGAGGCAGCCAAGCGAGATGGGATCCCGACAAAGGGCTGAATCACCAATGACGGCGATGACTTTAAATATCGATATGATCACGTAATGATTCATTGTCATTCTTATGTCTGATTCACAACAATAGATGCTGTACTTAAAACTTAGAACAATTAAATGAGAATATTGAATGCCTTCATATTCTAAAGTAACCTAAGGCAATAAAAACAGTCAAACGAAACAAAAATTACCGTGTTTTCATATATGTTAAATTAGTAGTTTGTTAATTTTAAAATTATTATAACAACATGATATACTGAAACGATCCTTTCCATATTTACATTATTTTCGGCAAAAGAACAATAGTACCCTTTTATACGGCACCAGATAACGCACAGACATACGGCATATAATCGTGGTTAACCCATATATTATTAGTTTGTCCATCATTGTGCAAGGCGATATATTGTGTGTGGTCCAATACGAAGTCTATGGGCGTGCTTTGTCTAGATAACGTAGATAAATGTTGTCACCGTATACGTAAGTACAAAGCGACAATGTGTCAGTCACATTCTCTTTCGACAAATTCCGTGTGGTAGTAATGTTCGAACTATTCAAGACAAGACTACGATTCGTTTTTTTTTTCAAGTATAAAGATGTATAGCCCCTTAAATACCGTTACAGATGAAAATAAATGAATGAAAATTTAATTATAAATCGATTTAAAATCCTATAAAATTCGCATCCCTATTGCATTCACGATTGGATCGGAATATTACGAAGCGGGCCGGTAATAACCACCCGCGCGGCGTATAATGGCTGACTTCTTACACTCTTAATTGATTAGCGGCCGCTCCGGCTAATGATAAAGGAAGGTGAAAAGAAATAAAACGATCCTACCTCGATTTGCGATCAAGCCCTCATACGACCTATAGCCACCGGATGCTACGATAGTCTAGGCCAATACATCATCATGAAATACCATTTTAAGTGCTCGACCGTAATTATAAGATAGACAGAAATAGTGAGATGATGTCATTTAAATCGTTCACCATAATATAAGCCTATTATTACAAAAATAACAGCCGAGTCTACTGTAATAAATGGTCATTTAAATCTCGGTTGCAAAGGTCACTTTAAATACTTGTAAATACTTATTCATTCGTCCGATTCACGTTGGAATATTAGAACATCAATAATTCATAAAGCTACTTCTTCAGCTTCGATTATTGAGATGTGTGTACAAATCATTTATTTTATAAATAATAACAGTACCGTGTGACTTACCTGTAGTTTTCTGGCCACGTGCTCACTTCTGCGAGTTTATTTTGAGGGTGCCCACTTAGCTGTCTTGAAGTCCAATGGTTATGCGCTGACATAGCATGTTCTTGTTTTGAGTAGTCTCCATAACCATAAGGATGAGGAACAGCATCACTGGCATTTGCATAAGTGGGATGTTGATAAGTAAGTCCACCAGACTGATTGGTCGATGGACTTGTTGTCGCAGGACTCGAACTTGGAGGTGTAACATCCGCTGATGCTTGTAATGGTGTTGGTAGTTCCGAAGAATGTGACAGGGGCGTCAAATTTCCAGTTGTAAATGAACTAGACGTAGGAGGATGCAACGATGAAGCAGCGAGTGCCGACTGGCAAACGGATGGCGCCGTTAGTGGCGATTGGTGGAGAGAAGGTGCTAATGCAGAATTCAAAACCGAACTGGACCCCAAGGCTGATGAATAAGATTGTTGCCAACTGGCGCACTGTGCATTGAAAGAGGCTGGTGGTTCATATTGTTGGTGAACGGCAGGAAAAGCTGATTGCAAAGACATTGTGTTGAAGGCACTAAGTTGTTGAGAGTTCAATTGCTTACGAAGTCGGGCTCTTCGGTTTGAAAACCAGACCTAATAGAAAAAATGCAATGTTAATACCATAATCAATTTATATGACTTAAAAAAAAACAGTCCTTTATTCCGATTTAAATCCACTCAACTAATTATATCGGAGCTAATCGCAACGTAATCCCTAAGATAGCGTAGGACAAAAATTAATTTACTCGATTGATGGAATAAAAGAGTTCGAAATATAATTAATTAATATACTTTCTATTACCTAAACTCAATGAAAGGAAGTTGATTAAACTTATACTAAAACAATATACAATTACTTAAAAGTTAATAACATTCTAAAATGTAGTAATATAACGGTAGCGATGAGCAGCATATGGTAGCTCGTTTCCTAGCATTGTAATTAATTATAAAAGTAATTACATCATTTTTTACGTCACGGTTTTGTTGGGGGCGGGAAGTATAGGTGATATAACAATGAATTTGTTTGATTACACTCATTTATCATTATTATATTTGGAAGAGTATTGATGCGTACCTGAACCCTCGCTTCAGTTAGTTTCGTTTTCTGTGCCAACTCTTCTCTAGTGTATACGTCAGGATATTGAGTTCTAGTAAAAGCACGCTCCAACGCCTCGAGTTGATCACCAGAGAATGTTGTTCTTGATCTTCTTTGTTTCCTCTTCAACGTTATGCCTGGTTCTGATTCCGTATCTGAATCTTCACAAGATGATGGACCTTTTGAAACAAATTATATTTTTTAGCAGCTTTCGTAGTATTAATGAATCTACTTAAAATAAAAAAAAAACATATATAGTGGAACACAATTTGAAACTATTGTCCATTTTGACATCGCAATAATAAATTGCCACTTTCTAGAGTCAATGTTGTTTTGTTTTATGTCGATTATCGTCAAGCTACCGCTTCGGACCACACGCATCTGAGATTAAATTAAATGTAACCACATTATGTTGCTTTGTACAAGCGTCACTTCTTTTGGACTCAATAAATATTACTTTAGACTACATGATAATGAAATAGAATTAAATTATCGTTGATGGCTACCGCATTTTTAACTGAAGCGTTTTCTCTACTTGCTAGTAGTTCAATTTATCATAACATCAGCCTGAAGAAGTGATATTTCTGTCTGTAATTTATCTAACTTTTCCAGTACTATTAATTTCAAGAAACTTGCATGCAAATATTTCCACGAAATGTAGCGACTGGAAATACCGTTGCACCGTCACGAGGTAAGCACGAACCGCAAATTTTCAATACGCGTACTGAGTGGTACTGAGGACTGCTTTTCCTGTGTAGATATTACTTTAGCGGCGCACAACTTAATATGCATAATCTTATCGCGGTGCAGAATCTCACCGGCAAAACCGCACTCCATCGCTGCACCGGCATATTAGGAGCGCCATTTTATATTGGATAGCTATACGGCACAAGACGTGCAGTACGGACAGATTGTCGTAATGCAAGCCCCGCGGTCAAACGCGATGGGATAATAACACCTTTGGATACTAATTTCATTTTTATAACCTACAATTTCGAAGCCGACACAAGGGGCGCTGCTGTGGCGTGCGCGCGCCTCGCCCGCTTCACTTTTACGTGGATTATTAACTTTATACGCCGTTTTCTGAAGTTTGCAAACGGTCCGACAGTCTCATTATAGGAATAAATTTATAATAATAGTGTGCTTTGAACTAAATTAAGTGATTATGGGCTCGAATCAGCGTTAAGGACTACGATGACACGGCAAGTTATTTACGCGTCATTACATTGAAGGTTTCATAACGTTTTAAATATTGTATTTTTGTCAAGGATTTCTATTATTGTTAAATATAATATTAATATTCCTATTTAAGACAACCTTGCGTTTAGAAAATTATGAAGTAAACCGCAATATTAAAGTGTACGCGTTTCAAGGGTACATTGTGTGAATGCAAAAATTCTACGGCAAACTAGTGCAATATAAAGTTTTGTGCAAATAAAGGCCGCTCTTTTATTCCGAGAGTGCTTGATAAGAGATACTGTTCAACATCTATATCTCACTTCATTACAAATAATGTCTTCATTACAAAATTACTGTATATCGGGACCGCGATAGAGGCATATCTTAAACGACAGACTAATTACAAATTTTAAGCGATAGTCAACAAACAGTCAAGGTAAGCGTGACTCACCTAGAATACCATCAATGCTGTGATTTCTTCTAGGATCTGATTCGTCACGTTTGCCTCCTCTTATAAGCCTCGAAATGGAACTGACTGACGGCGCGGTGTTTTTATCACAGATGCCTTCTTTTATAAGTTTATCTCTAATTTCCCAGGAAAATATACCTGGGTTTTGTCTCTTCAGCTCTTCGATCCTGTTCTCTACTTCGGGCGTTGCAACTCTCGGCTTTGATCCTCCTATTACACCTGGACGGATGGAACCGGTTTCCTGATAACAAAGAAAAACATTATTAATATAAGAACATTGTGTAAGTGTTAATAACATAATTATACTGCTGTTAATTAAAATATGATCATTTTGCTTCTATTACCCTAGTTATCTTCACAGTTGATAACCTAGTTTGTAGGACTTAACCTAAATGTTGTCTAGTTTGTGCAACATAATTGCTACAATCGTGCATACTTATAATATTTGTGATCGCTACCTGGTATCTGTTAAGAATCTTGGAAACGCAGCCATGGGAGACCCTCAGCTGGCGTGAGATGACACAAGGCCTGACTCCTGCGGCCGCCATCTCCACTATTTTCAGTCTGATGTGGTTTGGTAAAGGTCGCCCGTTAATGAACACCCCACCCAGCTGGTTCATGCGACCTTGACCTATAACAAAATATTCAAAAATATATACAAATATTAATATTTGCTCGCCGCATTTACTTAAATATTTAACTTTACAGACGCATACTATACATATATTAATTTGTCTTTAAGCGGTTCTCCAATCCTATCATATCATTGATTCCCATTTAAATATAGTTAAACATTTCAACTACCGTCTATAAATATCTTTTATAAAGATCCAGAGACCAGTAGCTGTGTATAAAAGCTAAATAATGGCTGAAGTATCAATAGTAACAACAATACATCAATATCACAAAGTGATCGCCATGGTAGCTGATGTACTGCTATAATTTAAGCTTTATTAGAATATCATAAAGCACATAGTAGCATACATTCAGTTTATTTCTTTCAATGGCCAGATTACAAGTAGGTTGTAAATCGGTAGCCCCTCAATCACTTCGTAATTTTACGTTCCATTGCAAGTCTTCTGAAGCAAAAGTATCCAATTTCCTAGAACACGCATGGAGTACAAACGATAACATTCATACAATAAATGCTATTTAGGAGCTTTGTCCAAGTCGATTAGTTTATACTTTACTATTATGAAATTAAATTTCACAAAAAAAAAATATGAACATTTGGTACGATGTAAATTCTAGATTAAATTCCATTTACGGCGTATGGAATCGATGAGTCATTCTTCGACGGCGGCCATCAAAAATTTAATTAATGCTTTAGCGAGATGAGTATTGGTTGTAATTAAATTCGGTGCTGATTGCTAAGAAAACCTCTTGGGAACGAATGTGGTACCTAATCTGGAATATAATAAAGACTGTATGAGTATCTAAGTGTCGCTATTATAATCACATCATTCAGCGTGCGGTGGGACCACCTATCGTCAAAGAAGCCGCCTTCCCTTGATTTTTGCAACGCTTGTATTGCATTATATTAGTTTCTATTGAAAGAAAATACGGATCAAGAAAAAAAATACACCGGTGTTATATTGGTTAATATAAAATATTTTTTTAATATTCTGTTGCATGGTCTAAATTGAAGATGAGTTAAATATAAAAACATCACAATATTAAATTCCAATCGTAAATTAGCATTTGGCTTGAGAACAATACTATTATTTAGATTACGCAAGTAGGTATAAATAAAAGGAATTTTATTTTGTTTAATAAAGTAATTAGAAGATATAATGTGTATGTGTGAAGATATAGAAAGATAACGCTGTTTAAAACGCTTAATAATTCCAATCACACCACTTAAGCAATGTGTTATTCGAAGATTTAAATAAAGATACACCTTCAATCATTTTATTAATAAAGCAATCTCAAATGATATATTGATGCCTACAAAATTCTTTCAAAATTTGACAGACATAAATTTATAATAAAAAAATATAACAGTGGCATCTTCCACTTGTGAAGGCATTTATAGTTTATCAATTTCAAATAATTCCTCAAAGGTGCCGCCATGTGTAAGGCCCTAGACCCCTACTGAGAAACACCAATCAATTAGACAACATGTCAACAAGTATGTCCTTTGCTACGGGAAGAAACCAGAGTTCATGCCAATCACTCAACCGATACTAAACCGTAACACAAACAACATACAGTATCTAATTGTGGGTGGTGAAAACAAAGAAGCCTGACCACAAGAAAGTGATATATATCATCAAAATTTGAACCTTATTTTGTAGGATGGTAGAAGGAATATCGTTAAAATTTGCTGCCAATTCAAACCACACGTCGGTCGGCATGGTTCTGCAAGCGATACCCATATTTTTTGTCGGAGTTGGTAGACGTTGCGGTGCCTCGAAAGCCCATGTTTTTGAGTGTTAATTTTATGTTCCCGAAATATTTATGATGCATAGCGCGTCCATAATAACCCCGTTATATAAATGTGGGTGGCTTTGTAATAATGTATCACTTCATTATAATATCTGTTGCATTATTGGCAAGTAGGTGTATTGTTACATTAAAAATATACCTTGCTATTCACTATGACAGGAGAAATGTTATGTATGTTAAAATCGATTGATGAAATTCAATATTAATATATATAAGTAAGAATGCGTGAATAAATACTCAATGGATGGATGAATGAATGAATGATCACAATCATTCGAAAACCAACAAGATCAGTCAAAAACACAATCGATAAAAGGCTCACAACAAATGCACAAAAAGGGACTCAAGTGCACAATGCGTAATAGAATTCACAAATATTGTAACGCTATTAACACGAATGGATGTGAAGTTAACAACAAATTCAAACATTCGTTGACGACTAATCGTCCGGAAGCGCTTTTAGATCATGCACAAGTTACGTTCGACAATAGCTGCTACCCGGGTGGCACAGAAATGTAGAGCATCAATAATAAAGCCAATAGAGAAAAAAATATATATTATTCAACTCTATTTCAGCAAGGAGAATTTATTCTATACTCACGTGTTTTATTCATAGCAAGACTCGACTTCTCGAAGCATAATCACGAACTAAACAGACACAGTAAACTATAAAATTCTATCACAATCACATAATCGTGTACCAATTCGTTCAACTGGCGCATTCGTGTTAGACGAAATTGAAACATAGTCAATCATTTAATGCTAAACGTAAGAGGCATACCGTGACGGGATAAATGAAGATTTCGAATTCATCGACCATTTCTATGTCAACTTTAATTAACAATTTTCATCAACCTTCGCACAAAGTGCTTGGGTTATCATGCATTGTTGAAGAGATTGGATTTCTTAACATTCTTTGTGTCGCCAAACTTCATTTTCAGTTTGATCGAATTCTATTTCCTAATCATTAACTAGCGATAATAAACTCTGTTTGCCTCTGTGAAGAAGTGTCATCACATTTTAATTTCATCTGTCATTAGTTTTTTCAGGAATGCGAGAAATCTTTGCATACTATGTTGCTAAACTATTTCTTCATGTCTACTTTAAATACTTTCTTTTTTTATGTTTAACGATTTTTTCCCAATAAACTATCGACTTCACGTATGACAGTTCATAATGTTCAAATTCGATATCGTATTGTGTAAATAAATCGTAAACCCCATTTCCTCAATCATAATATGTTTCTGGTTGCAAATCAATTTCACGTAACGACATTAATGTGCCTATGGTAAAATTTATATGAGGTCTTACGTCATTCAACATTACTTTTCCACCATATAAGTCCTCTGATAACCATTCCCAGTTGTTTAACTCTATTTCAACTTTAGTTTTCTATAAAATATCATTGATGATAAATTTTATATGGAAGTGCCTTTTTTAAATATAAAAATAAATAAATATGTCGTCCTTTTATAAGTCGGTCAAAAATCTCAAATATCACTTCAATAAATAGGTCTTCTATTATATAAATTTATATAAAATTGCAATCAAATAAACAATGCGGTAAAATTTGTAACATAATAACAATTTCTCAAAGGTTATCAATGAAGTACTAACGGAGCATACTAAATTGGATTCGATCAACAACGCGCAATATTTAATATAATTTAGAAAAACATGGTATCGAAGAAAATAAAAAAATTAATGGGTCGACATTGATTCTCTATTGTACCTAAACTATTAAAATCATCTGTAAACCAATAAAATAAGCTATTACTATCGAAAATCAAGCAACAAAAAGATGAAATGCCATCTGAATAGGCATTAGAATTGGGCGGCGCGTACAAAGGTTGTGTCATTCCATTAAGCCTCCTTCAAAGGCTTCGAAGTGTTATGTGTGGCCGTGGTCGCGTGGCACGGAATGTAGCGCAACGGAATATCAAATCAATTGTATTATACTTTCATAGTTCATACACTGCATGGCTGGATGACGCCTCATTATTCTGACGAATGCCGGAGAATCATCCGCTTGCGTCACTTATACAACAATACTGTTGATAACATATATCAACAGATGTATAAAAAATTCCTAATTTTGAATTTCGTTTTCTATTATTTTTAATATTTAGATGAACTTTTTGTAACATCTGAAATTAATTTACATTCAAACGTCAGAAAACAAATTCAAGAAAACAATCAAAAGGAGCAAGGGAAGCGGCTTAAGCAAAGAGATAAAACGCCTTGTTTAAATTATCTAGGACCTCGCTATCACCGTTGAACCAGCTACCAACTGTTCAAACTAAAGAAACTCTTTTGGAGCCGAACATAATATGCCCACGTAAATAATGAATGGAACTGAATATTTTATTTCGGCGTAATGGAGTATGTTTGAGTGCCCTGTTTGACCTCATTCCGTATTCATAACGCGTTATATACTAATTTGACGGACTCTTTTCTTTTCAAATACGAACTGGACTCTTTGACGTGGTCACTTGCCGCTGCTGGAACTATAATAATGCTTTTGAACATAATTTCCATCACAAAACTATGAATACCAATAAGAGTGAATTCTCATTTTACAAGTCTTTGTTAACATAACTAATTACATATTTCAAACTATTGCTTTATTTGATACATTTTTTATATAGGAAAATATGCAATATGTCTAAGTTTTATACTCTCTGATGGTAAATAAGCTATATCGCAAGATTGTAAAATGTTGGATCATAATGATCTTCCGGTTTATAATTGTTTTTATATGTGTTAGAAAAAAAATTGATAATTAATAACATGTAGTCCTGACAAGTATTAAGCAAGTTACTAGATGACAAATTCCTAAAACGAAAATTAAATGTTGGTCTTTTCCAAGACACGTTTCTTAAATTTCATAGTAATATTTTATGGAAAACTGACCAGATATATAAAAAAAAAACAGACAATGTCAATCCATGAGTAGATTTTTTTAAATGTAAAAATTCCCTCCTCTCGTATTTTCTTTAAGATAACTATAGCTTTACGATTACTTAACTCAACGCCTGCGATAATATCTAAGCGTACCATACTTCTAAAGGCGTTCTATACAAAACTGTGGTCCCGTTATTACTCTAACCCCTTGAATAATGACTCGCGTTTATCGCAAGTCAACTTTTCATGGGGCCTCAGGTAATGATGGAGAATTTACGTAATTTTAATGGAACAATGATACCTTGATCGATGGACGGACCGCGCACGTGAGCTATTTTGCGAGGCTTCCTCTGATTGGGTATAGTTATATCTCTAACACAAAATTATATTGTACCGTTTTACTATTTAAAATGTTGTATCCAAAAAAATATTTCTTATAAAAGAGAGGTTTATAATCTTATAAATCTTAAGGTCTACCAGATACGAAACTTATTAGTTTATCTGTTCTATGGATCTCGGAGCAACATTATTAAAATTTACATTAAAAGCATGACATTATAGCATATCATAACCAACCTTCAACAAGAATTTCCTAAGGGTGTTGCGCTAAGAGAAAACCCTAACGTTATAATGCGTTTGTCGCGAAAGGCGCGCGCGCCGCCCGAGGCGGTGTAGATTTAAATCTTTAGGGGATCGATTAAATCTGATAAATCTTTTCAACGCGCTGCTTTCCCGTGATCAATTCAGTCTGTATTATCGATGATGCGAATAAAACACCAATCATTAATGTAGAAACAAGCGCCTGTCAATTGAATGGTTATTTTTTTACTTATTATCTATTAAGAAAAGATGCTATTGTTTTTTATCATCATTAACCAATTCAACTTTCTGTGAATCCTAAACAATTAAAAGATAAGGCATAGAAAAAAATGTTAAAAATTGCGCTTAAAATTTCGCGTTCACAAATCCTAACAATAGAGAACCATATTGTACCGAAAATTTATCCAAAAGTCTGAAGTCCTTGAATTTGTAATCATAATTCTCCGAGTTGTTCGTTATATCAATTTGTTTATTAATAGATCGGCATAAGTAATAGCAAGTACCCCGGAGGTTCGGAGCATTCTGCAGCCGTCGGCGGAGGCGGGGGGCGCGTCGTATTATGCGGCTAAAAGAGCCTGTCGGTGCCTTTGATCTGAACCGCCCGCGCGCGCCGATGTGCACCGCTTGTCGGCCCGTCATACGAATGCGACTAAACCTTGATTATACTGAACTCTTTATAGAGGTCAAAAATCCAATGTTTTGTGATGTTTGTTGTGTATTTATAATTGGTCGGGCAAAACGTTCAGTAATAAATCCCTAATGGGATGTTTTATGGCTGGTCTCTGATTCGGCCGGCACTGTTCTTTTAATATGAGCCAGCAATCAATATGCTTAACTGACTATCGTCACGCAATATATCTTACCTAAACGTTCGTCTGTGATCGGATCTAATCCTTTTGATATGTATTGTTTAAGAAGCTTATATTAATAAAATTGATTATTATGAAATCGGTATATGGATTTTATAAGCCAACCCATTTGATAGCCATTTGAAACTTTGTTGCAGAAATTTTGCAAAGCTTAATTTACCGATGCTTAATCTGAACTTCGATTCAGACGTCCAAGTATTAATTAAAGTAGGTATATCTTTGGACTAACGAATGATATGATGCGATGTAAAAGTCTACTAAGGAGAATTCATCGTTGAACTGCTTTTAGAAAAATATCATCGCGATTGCAAACCGCATATTTGCGTATTAAATATCGAGCACATATCAATTGATTTCATTATTAAATTACATTCTGCTTATGTTATATGAGAATAGAAAGCTGTTTTAAATTTAGTATTAAATTATTAAATAATATAATAATAAATAAAATAAATAGTACGTAATTTATACCTACTTAAAGGCTCAACTTATTATTTAAATGATATTAAAAATTCCTAAGTTAGCTTTAATCGCAGAACTAAAATGATTCCCACAAATTATTATTTAACTTATTATTATTTATTAATTATTTAACTTATTATTTAAATGATATTAAAAATTCCTAAGTTAGCTTTAATCGCAGAACTAAAATGATTCCCACAAATTTTTGATCTGCAAATATCTTATGGTTATTTGACTGTAATGGTAATAAGAAATACAAACAATATAGTAATAATGATAAATCGGCAAACGTAAATAAACCTTGACCAACGTTGTTTACTAAGCGAATGTATCTGAACGATCCCGAACATATCAGAGCGGCTTATGACACTAAGCTCTTCTTACATTTCGAAAACTTGTATAATTTTGGTCTCGAATTAAAACTTCAAGAGTTTTTATAACATGTAAAGGACCGGTCTCGCCGCCCGTTAGGTAGTTTATAAGTATGTAGTGACTCACGTACATACTAAAGGGCTCATAATTCTTGAAAATTGAGCAAAACAGCTACTTTTGATTTGTAGTCTTCCAAAGATATAATAATGAAAAACAAAAAAAAAACTAACGAAAAAAGCTTCGGAGTTATTTGGAAAAACTTCAACTATATACTTCCAAAGCATACAATTTTTTATTATTTGAATTATTACTAAACAAAATTAACATTATTAAAGAGTTCAATTTACTACTGCATTATAATCTTTATATTATATACAACCTATTTTAATAGGCAATGTGCGATATTTTGGAAAATATAACGTGATGAATTTTGTTAGTGTAAGTTTTATTGTTGTGTTATTTAAAAACTATCAACTGAATAAAAAAATTAATATAAAATTTTAACACTGATGCAGATTATTTATATTAAAAAAAAAATCTTTAAAATCACAGAATTATTAATTAATTCATGATAAATTATAGACTACCAGTAAGTAAACAATTATTACAAGAATAGTTTAGATATTCAATTAAAATGGAAAATGGAGGAGCCACATTCAAATAAATTCAACAAATTAATGTCAAGAGAGAGTGAGAGGTCCCGTAAAAAGTATAATCATCGGTCTCAATGCTAGAAGATATTACTAGTAGTGTAAACAGCCTATGCCATGGATATCATGGGATAAACGCACTGTAAGGATGACGAATATGCATTCATATAAGAAAATATCAGAAATTGGAGATCCGGGTTTGGTTCTCATCTTTGAAATTAGGCTACGATATATAGAGCTTTAGTCCACTAAACTCAGAGGTCCACCTTTGCGAGCTTAACTGAATGACTTAACCTCGCTATTTGAAAAATTAAGGATATATGAGGAACTCATTTCCTTTACAATAAAAAAAAAATAGAGAGAACGCCGAAAACAAAAAAAAAATATATAGAGTGGACAACCTATATACCTTTGACATAGAAGACTATAAAAAAATGTTCATTTACAAAATCTAATCAGCAAACTTATGAATTAGTGTGTAGATAAGCTGTTATATTTACTAATTGTGAGATTATTACATTAAATTTACTTCAATATAATAATAGGTAATTGTAAAATCTAAGAAACCTAGCCGAAAACATCATCGAACTCATAATTTTTTTTTAATACAACACCACAGTTTTTACTTAAAACTATAGTACCTAAAGATTACAAATTATCCTCGGAAATGATTGCCGGCATCCTTTTTAAGTTTCTCTCTCATTCTAACTTACCTACTATGGCCTCCGTCTTTTTCTTTTTAATTTAGTTTAAACGAAACAGGTCATAAGTCCAAATGACATTTTCAACAAAGCAGTCGAAATGTTTTCGTATGGTAATGATTTATGTGTAAAAACGTCATTGGCATTTGCTTTTTAGAGCGGCTTGGGTTGTGTTATTGACGCGTACCTACATACGGTAACACTTTAAAACGGCTTTTACATCCGCAGTGGAAACAATAGCGTATTTAATTGTAAAAATTAAATCATTTTAATTATGAAGCGCAAAAGCCTTTTTATGGATAGACATTTGCATGGGAAAATATTGTTACCCGCCACATAGTAATATAATGATATTGAACTAACCAGCCAAAATGAGCGTTTCAACAAGGAGTGTCTCGAGATACCGGATACCTCCTTGCAGGATACTGGACTCGTATATCCGCGTGAGATGACCACAATGGTATTAGTAGGCCATTCACACTAACCTGCCATTCAGAACACTGTTTGCTGAGCCCTGATATAAGGTTTAAAGTGCATTTCCTCTGTGTTATCAAATAAAGGAATATCTCAAGATAGTGATGTTATGTCACCCATCTGATTGCCAGTCCTTGCCAAAATTGTTTAAGCTCCCGAATTATATTTCACTATGCCATCGATCGTGTTGATTGAAAAGTTAGTTTCCATGTATAGATGAAATATCAGAGACGTAAAAAATGTAATTACAGAGTCTACAAACTAAACACTAATATATGTATGTATAAATAAGTGGCGCTGCGCTTCGGTTGTTTCGTTCAATATATTTCTCAAGTAAATAATTTCGTGGACGATACAAACGCATTATACCTGCTAGTCGTTAGTTAGTCAACAACAGGCATCCAATATTACTTGCTCGTTTTTATTTCGATTCTATTAACAAGCATACAAAAACTCAGTACAGAAGTTACAAACTTTTGTCATTGGGGACGTAGAAAAGAAATGTCGCCTGCAATAAAATTTTGTTAGAAATTTTGTTAAGGGACGTTTGGAAACAAAATACGCTTCAATGTTTTTATGATTGGTCATAATTCCTTTTGAAAGAATGTCCGGACATCGATCTTTAAAAATAATTATGTCAATAAATTAAAATACGCAATAGTTAATGTCAAATTAATCTTAATAATTATACATTACACTACAGAATTTATGAAATTAATATCTATTTTAGTCACTAATACTTTCACTGCAAGCACTGAATATATTCGCGGTAAATGTTACAATAATTCCAATATAATTTATATTGATTATAATAAAGTTATTATTGCTATTTATACTACATATTATCTTAAAGATATACATTTTAAGATATATGTTGAAGTTTTCAAACTTGTCGCAAAATTAACCAGTTAATTTATCAGAATTTTATAAATAGCAATTTACGTTCATATGTTTTTAATAAACACTACATAATTGAACTGCTTTTTTTTCTTCAATTATTAAGATCAAGATCGTTTTGAGAACGTTACAATGGCAAAGTCGTGACAAAAATTCTTTATTAAATTTGAGACAATCGTTTTCTATAACTGAAGCTTACGATCCTTGACCATTCCAGATATTTAACAAGGTCCAGTTACTTAGCTAATGAAAAAAAATAGTCGCACCCTTTTTTTACAAAATATGGACCCGGCGGCGCGTGAGAATGAAATATTATTTTATTGTTAGCAATAAAACTCACTTTTGGCTTTATAATTTGTTCATGATTTTATATATTTATGGCCTATTCGAATCTTTTTATAATAAAAAATGCAGGTTGATCTCATGTAGTAATTTTAAAATTTACAATGGACTTAGGTATTAGTCACAACAGGTCATATCCCTCTATATGAAGAATGAGATGTAACTTCATGGATTGTAGTTTTGTTGAGGTTGTATATGAAATTTTAAAACCATATTCGGCCTGAATATAGATATATTTGTGTATATTTTACAAATATTCAATTTCAGAAATTAGTTACTTTAGGTAATATACAAGTGCACCATAATATAAAAATATATAATATACAAAAATATAACAAAAACAAAATCATTGTTAATGACTGAAAAAAAAAAACTTTTCTATAGAAGCCGCACACGCATCATTTTCAGTACACTAACGTTTAGCGCCAAAATAGATAGGTAATGTTATCACAAATCAAATCAATATATTGGCGTGACCAATTTACATGTACGTGTATAGTACAAACAAAAGCAACTTATTCTCAAGATTATTACCTATAAACAAAGCATGATAAATAATTCCATGTTAGTAATATTTCACTAATATTTATAACTAAGTATTAATATTATAGAGTAAGAAAACACATTCTTATATTAATAATTATCTGTAACTTCAAAAACTTACCTTGAAAGGAGTATCCTGTAAAATACGGCGTCATATTCAGTGTTGATACCGCCATTGACTTAAGCTACAGAAGAAGATGTAAAATTAACCGCTCCTAACACTAAATCAGTCCGGGCGCACATACAAAAGTCCAACGAGATCACAGTATCAGTCTTTCACTATCACAGGTTGCACGCAGACATAGTAGTACGTAAATGAAACTGCGTGT